GTGTGTGTGTGTGTGTGTGTGTGTGTGTGTGTGTGTGTGTGTGTGTGTGTGTGTGTGTGTGTGTGGCTGCACTAAAGAAAACCTAAGAAAGCTAGAAGTGTTGGCAGCCTGCCAGCTCTGTTGACCTTGAACAGGAAGAAAAGGAAGACGACAAACACAGATGTCCCCTTCACCAACACACAACATGAGTGACCTGCAACAAATGTCCCTAATGAAGAGGAGGAGGATGACGAAAATGCTGACGTCAGTCGGAGCCTGCCTTCCAACACAAACACACACACGGTGTCGCAAACAATCTCACATAAACATGTAGATGCATAACGCAACTTCGCACAAATACACAGAAAGGATGACAAAACAAAATTTCCTAGCAGTCACAAACCTTCATGAGGAAGAAGAGCACCAGAATGACAAAGACGCTGACATTAGGGTGCAGCCAGGCAGCAGAGCGGCCCAGACCGACCGGTGGAGGAGACCCTGAAATCTTTGTCCATGTGAAGTTGTCAAACAGAGAGTTGATGCACTCTCTGGGCATCAGCTGGAAAGAAAGAGGACAGAGGGGGAAATGAGGTGAGGAGAGGCAGAAGGGACAAACTCTGAGACAGATGGACAGAGGGGAAAGTGGTGCAGGAGGAGAAAAGCAGAATATCTACAAATGTACCTGATTTACATTTAAGATCTTTTTAAAGGCACTTTAAATAAAATGTGAAGCCAAACCTGCATCAAGGTGAAAATGTGATATCTGCTCAAAATTAACCATAACATAAAAATTTGATAAGTTTAGGAAAATGATTTAAATTAGTTTATTATTGTGAAAATAAAATAAAAACCTTTGACACACCCTGAAGTTGATTCATAATCATTTCCAGGCAGTGGTTTCAACCGACAGCAGAGACGGTTATACTTTAACCATTTTTTACCAAACTTATAATTTGGCTTGAAAAACAGCAGGCGTGGCTAACAAAGCTTTCTTCTTTTGATCAGCTGTTAAATCAGCTGATAATCGGACCTCCTGTCAATCATTTTCACCAAGTAACAACCTTCATTTTTTAGACAACCTCCAACTGTCTAACAAATATGATGACTTTTCGTGTGGCACACACTGCAAACTATATTCTGTATAAACTTTTTAACTTAAAGTATTTTATTTGATGGTTACTTGTGTGTTATATGTGCGTTTGTCCTTTGCACCCATGCAGTTCATGAGTGCAGCTTGCTAACCAAGATTGCAAGTGTTAGCACTCTGCCTGCTCATTTTACATATTACAGTAAATGTGACCAATTTCATTACACCGTATAGTGTTTTTATGTACAGGAGTCAGTCAAACGTAACAATGCATTCACAAATCTGTGAAATAAAAAGTACCCTCAAACTTTTCATTTTCAAAGTGTGACAAAACTCGTTTTTTCCAAAGAAATTGAGGATTAGAACACAGGGAAGATATGTAAGAGGTCGTCTACACAAAACAAGGGGAGAAGGTAAAGCAAAAAAAAGAACAGGATGAGAAAATTACTGAAAATTAATGAGAAAGTCAAAAAGGAGAGGGATATAGGGGGAAGTTATAGCACTAAAAGGTGAAAATAAAAATAAAAACAAGGAGGAAACGGTGAAGGGAGAGAGGAAAGGAGAGCAAGGGAAGGAGGAAATATGGTTAAAGGCGGAGTGAAATTTAAAAGGAGGATGAGGGATAAGGAGGAAATGGACACGGAAGAAGAGGAAGAAGTTTAAGAGGGAAAAAGGGAGAAAAAAGTGAAGTGAGGAAGAAAGTCAATTGAGATAAACAGGCAGGAAGTTATCCAGAAGGCTGGAAGCAGACGGGTATGGGTGGCCCTGTCCAATGAGTCATTCACTTCTGATGACTCATGAATGACTAATTCACTTCAACCGTTTTTGCTCCACATTTGCATAGATGCCTCTGAAACTGCTCACAGGAACAAAACGCAGCGCCTCCCGCATCTGCATAACGCCACTGCGGGGGGAGAAACAGCACCAGCGTCATTTTGATTTCTCTACTTTTCTATTTCCTGCTTGAGTTCGGCTCGAATCGTGGTCCCTGAAATCCACCGTTTCAAGTGTGAGTGGAACTGTTGAGGTTCTGTGAAAGGCTGCTGTGGGCCTCTGCAGGGCTCGGATGTAAAAGGCTTTCCTGCTGCTTTTTGAAGTTGCGGGTTCATGTCTGGTTCACAACCCTTGTAGCATTTAATCTCCTCTCAGTGAGTTGCTTCTTCTGTCACTTTGCACCGAGCTGCCACGTTGGATTGGAAGGATTTCATTCCCCAAAGGGTGTGGATAAAGTCTTTGAGGAAAAGAAGAGGTGTCTGTCAAACATGGACCTGTTCACCAACTTAATCTTTTTCCTGAGGAGAAATGATTTCAATTTAGGCATCGCCTGTGTTAAAACCCACAGTGTGTCTTCATTAAAAAGGTGTGACGCATTTCTACAACGAGTGTGTGAATCATGTTGGGGTGTTACTGACTGACATATGCATTAAAACACATACCTGGTTCACACTAAGTGGTCTATTCTGAGCCCGTGTGAAACACATGATTAGCTTTTAAGCTCTGGGTGGGTGAGCTGTTGATCTTTTCTCTTACCTTGAAAATCCATTTGCACACAGCAGGGCCACAGAAGTGCATTAATATGGCGAAGATGTTCAGAATATTGCCCATAGGGATATGTGCAATATTCTGATGTATAAGGAAAACAAGTTTTTAAGGCTAAAATGGTAAAACAGAATAGACAGTGTTGTGCAAGAGTCTTGAAGAGTCTTAGTTCATATTTTCCCATGAAAATGGAAACAGGTGCAGACATACATTAATCCACCGTGGTCAACAAACTGCCAAGCAGGCAGGAAATGAGAGAAAGGAGATCAGCAGAAGGAGAACATGGGTAGAGTCAGGAGGCTTAAGTACGAGATGAAAATAGACATGAAAGAAAAGGACCGAGTATAACAGAAAAACATGAATTTTACTTCACAAAACACAGGAGTTGGTTTATTATTGAGTAGGTTGAGTTAGTTTGGTGCATTCTCAGTAAGTCTTTGGGTATCAGAAAAACTTGATTTCTTTCTGTGTTATTTCTATAAATCAACTAATTTTGTCAACTGTTGCCACACATAAGTGGAGCATTAACGTCTATGTTAAAAATATTTATTGTTTGATGGCCGCAGTGTCTCCTTCCATGCGTACCATGAACTTTGAAAGCCTGGGCTCCAAGACTTTAATGAGTGAAGAGCCGTAAACACTGACACAGCTTTCCAAAAGAAACACAACATAATACTACAGTTATTCACATTATATTACTAGATCATACTGTGTGGCTCGTGCTTCAAAGTTAACCTTACAACAGGGCTAAAAACTGATATGCCAAATTTTTATATCAATTATTAAAAACATTCGGGAGGGGATGGGTAGCATTTTCTGCCTCAGTGAGTCATGCTGACTTAGGCTACATCCACACGTACACGGCTATAAACTGAGATTGTCTGTTTTCGTTTAAAAAAAAAAAATCCTGTCCACACGTACAGTTTTGAAAACATCTCTGTCCACATGTAAACACAAAAAATGAAGTCAAAGGATGTCAAGAACATGCCAAATCCTAACCGTGAAGTAATGTTGGCCAATCAGAAGACTAGAAGCCTGTGAGGAAAGAGTAAACAGGCCCTCACAAAACCTTAAGTACTTCTGATAAGTAGTAGTTTTTCTGGAAAGGCAGCTAATTTTGTGTTACTTTTCAAGTGCTTTCATCATTTAAAGTGTTAATAACTAAAGACAGTATTTTGGATTTTGTCTCACTGGGTCTCTTGGCCGGAGTTTATTCAATAAAGAAACAAACTGAAAATTTCACGTCACTCTGAGTGACTCATAATCATAAGTCACAGCACTGTGAAATATGGCTGGTGGAGACTCACAACTTAGGCATGAACAAAATGCATACAGCATGCATACATTCAATTTTTAAAAAAAATTACATTTATTCAAAACCAACGCCGACGTTGGTGTCGGGATTTGGGTTTTAAGAGCGTCTGTGTTTAATGTAGAAGTTCACTCTGACGCCTCTGTCTTTGTAAATGGACGGACAGTAACTGCATGTTTATATGTAAGCATGTAAAAACTGCAGATAGTCAGATTAACAGCAACAGTATTTTGTCTCTATCCGCCATTGCAGAAATTCATCTCATGTAAACAATAACGTGGTTTTTAAAAATCTCAGTTTTCAGTGACCTAAAACGCCATTTATGTGTGGACGAAAGGTCCAAACGCATAGAAAAAGATGCTTGTGTACGTGTGGACGTAGCATTAGATAAAATAAGCAAAGAGCCAATTGATACACAGAGAGCAGAAATACACCAAACTCCATGAATCCAAGTGGAAAAATATGCAATAAGATGAGAATCAACTTTTCGTTTTCACACCCGTGTCCTATGTTGAAATCAAATTAGAAAGCAGTATAGACTCACTACAGTCATCCTCCTTAATATTCAGTAACATGAACGGGTTGTGGTTTGTTTACTTTTCCTTTTAGGTCATCGGGGGTCGGATTGACTTGTTCCACAGGCCAGTTCAAGCCCTCAGGCTCTGTTTTGCTTATGTGTGCATTCGGGTGTCTCATTATTTTCCAGCCTTCTGCACGACTTTGCTAAACAGTGAGAGAAATTTGGCTTCAAGCAACCAGTGAATAAACTTCTATATATCTGAAAACTTTTCAGCCTTTTACAAACTTAGCTGAATTCATCTTTGCAGTCTAATTACACTGCATGATTAAAGTTCGCTGGTTTGTCTCTCATTAGTGCTCAAACTAAGTGTTCATGTTAGGAGCACCCTGCGGCACTCAGAGGTCACGGTTTGTAAATACTGAACTTCAAATCCCAAAACTTGTGTGATGTGACATCAGTGGAGGGGACACAGCAGGCTCACATTTATCATGGCTACTGGACTGTGATGATGCTCTGCACCAAAGGAAACCGAAGATCTAAGAGACCACTGGTGTCAGCTTTCTGTGGACTTCAGGCCAAAGAAGCTCAGATTAAGCTTTCAGGTTACGATACGTATACGACTACATGAGGATGGTTACTGGACACCAAAACTTTGTGTTCTTGATGTAAAAACAAATGATTACTAAAATAAATAAATTAGCATGTAAATCAATTATTCAATATTCTATAGTGCTTACATAATAAACAGGACAACAAGCTATAAACTGACCTCTCCTGCCATGAACTGTCCAAATCCAGGCGGAAAGGTCAAGGTGGCGATTATCAGCGTTACCACAGCGGGAAAAAGCAGTCGGCTGGGAGGGAAAACAAAAGGAAAGTCAAAGCTCTGTGAACGAAACAAGCACCAGTAATTACCCTGATTATACCTGTGCATTAAAGTAATTAAAATACCCACAGTAAGGCACAGGCAGCATGGGCTAAAGTAAATTAAAAGCTGCCACAGCAAAGAGAGGCTCACTGTTTAGTCAGGAAGCGGGTCATGGCATTGGGTCTTCTCATAAACAGCACCACCTGTCTGTTGAGGTAGACGAAGAACGCGCCGAGGAACCCGCAGAAGATGCTGTACCAACGAGAAAGTCGGACACTCATTAATTACAGCCTTAAGTCATTTATTATATACATGTTGCTGTCATACATATCAGCATAGTCTCAAGACATTTGTCCAGTGTCTGACGTTACATTGGGCACTACTGTTTAGTTTTATTGGCCAGTGGGGAAAAGGTGATTTTGCTTACTTTATAATGCAGTTTCTATCGTGTAGAACAGAGGCGTCCAACTCCAGTCCTCGAGAGCTACTGTCCTGCAGCTTTTAGATGCATCCCTACTCCAACACAGCTGAATCAAATGGATGGATTACCTCTTCAGCCATCAAGTTTGGCAAAGGCCTGATAACAAGCCATTCATTTGATTCAGGTGTGTCGGAACAAGGGTGCATCTAAAACAGGGCTCTCAAACTCCTCGAGGGCCGGTGTCCTGAAACTTTTCCATGTCCCTGCTGCAACACACCTGAATACAATTAGTAGGTCATTAGCAAGACTACAAAACCTGACTGCATGCTGAGGTGGCAACTCAGCCATTTGACTCATGTTAACAGCAGCTCATGAGTGAATGAACAAGGTGCAATAAAGGTACTGTTAGAAGTACATTTTTCCAAACAGTTACTTTTACTTAAATTTACTTGAGTTAGGGGTTGCAGTCAAGTTCTATAGAGTCTTGCTAACGCCTACTAATTTTATTCAGGTGTGTTGTAACAGGGACACGTGGAAAAGTTTCAGGACCTGAGTCCTTGAGGACTGGAGTTGGACACCACTGGTGTAGAACAACACTGCACTTACAATTTAAAAAGTAGTAAAAGCTTTCAAATGAATGTCAGGGAAAAATGACGTTTCTGTTTCATGTTTAGGCTTTTTCTGAGCAGATGGTTTGCTGTGGTTTTATATACTGGATGGTTTTGGTTGTAATAACTAAAGAGCGCTGGCGTTCCCATCTATGAAAGACACTTCCTGGTTCAAAGTTGTGGTGCTGCGTCTTTACTGCTCAGCACACGAAGCACAGTAGCCTCAAACAAATCAGCAGCCCCTCAGCAAGTAACTGGTTATGACTGAGTAACTAGCAATCACCTTCATTTTCTCATGTCAACCTAACTGTAGCAAACTGTGTAAATACTCATCGAGTAGAGGAAATCATAACATAACAGCTGCAACTACATTTTTATTATTCAACTGATTTACTCCATTTTCAGTCTGGTCCCTGAGGACATGTTTGGACATGCAGAGTGAAAATGGTCAAACATATATACTCTCATCCCAAAAGGTTGATTCTGTTCATCTAGAACTGAAAACGCTACGTCCAGATGAACAGAATCAACCTTTTACGATTTAAATACCTGGATGATTGAGCATGCATCAAGACATGCATACTCTACTCACTACTTCATTAGTTGCATCTTGCTAGTACCAGGTTGGGCCACCTTTTCCCTTCAGAACTGCCTTAATTCTTCATGGCATAGATTCAATAACATGTTGGAAATGTTTCGAGAGAGATTTTGGTCCACATTGACATGATGTCACAGAGTTACTGCAGATTTGTTAGCTGCACATCCATGATGTCCTATTAGATTGAAATCTGGTGGCTGAACTCATTGTCATCTTTTAGAAATCTTATTGAGATTACTCGAGCTTTGAAACACGACATATTATTCTGCTAGGAGCAGCCATCAGAAGATGGACACTATGTGATCATAAAGAGACAGACATGGGCCCCAAAGTGTGCCGAGAAAATATCCCCCACACTATTACACCACCAGCAGCCAATCATACAATGCAGGATGGATCCATGTTTTTTATGCCAAATTATGATCCTGACATCTGAATGTTGCAGCAGAAATCGAGACAAATCAGGCCAGGCAACATTTTTCCAGTCTTGATGAGCCTGTGTGAGTTTATTGGCTGACATAAGCAGCATCTAGTCTGGTCTTCTGCTGCTGCAGCCAAACTGTTTCAAACACTGTCAGGGTGAGCTCTTCTGCATGTCACGAGTGGTTGTTTAATTTACTGCTGCCTGTCAGGTTAAAGCAGAGTGACCATTCTCCTCTGACCTCTACATATTTTCTCTTTTTTGGACATTTCTCAGTAACCCCTGCAGATGGCTACGAGGGGAAAATCCCAGTAGATCAGCAGTTTATGAAATATTCAGACCAGCAATTATGCCACAATCAGAGTCGCTTAAATCACGCTTTTCCTTGTTCTGATGCACTTTCTGTCCAAATACTGGTGAGTTGGACATATGCCTTCACAAAGAACAGGTGTACCTAACGAGTTTGCCGGGGTGTGTGTGTGTTTTTGCTTTCTCTTTGCTCACCCAATGATGGCAAATGCTGGCAGCTCCTGCAGATCAAAAGGGAAATCCATACGAAAGTTTGTCCTGAACAGAGCCGTGATGGTTACTGGAAGAAAAAGAAAAAGTGCCCAAATTTATACCCTCGGCTTTCATTTCAATTCATTTAAATAATGAACTGGAGCTTGTGGTTCTTTTAGTGCTTAGACTAATAGCAGATAACACATTTACTGTGACATACAAACAGAAAGCTAATATGTGGTGTACTGCAAAGTCACAGGAATGTGTTTGTACAGCAAAATGATTGGTTAAACATCCACGGAGACGCGAGCGAGGCACTGAAACACTCTGCTGCTACATGAAGGTGGAGATCGCCATCTAGTGGAGGGAGAGTGCTGTAACTACAGTACACACATATTGTCAGTGTCCATATAAAGACATGACACTTTGCTTCGTGGAGAGAGGGCTCCCTCTAGCTCATGTCTTGGAAAGTAGTATATATATATTTGCACACATACCTGCATCTTTATTAAACACGGATAACACTCTGAATATGAAGGCACTAAATGTAGCAGCAAAGTATCCTCTCCAGTAGTTTCTTACAGCAAAGTATGTAGATGTTACCTCTATGCTGAAGAGCACACCTGGTGGAGGAAGAAATAAAGAGCAGAGAATTAGTCATGTATCAGATGTGTACTTCCATCATCACACTAATCTACATTTAAAACCTCTGCAATATGGAAAACTGACTGTAGATGAACATAAGAATATTTTCCGTTTTTGACTCTGAATTTCGGTTTCCTGTGTGCACCAGACTGTGATGAAAATACCCAAAGCAGAGGTCTGACTGTCTTACATGCACTCCTGAGGGATATGAGTCAGACAAAGAGAGCAGAGGAGCACAGGGAAAAGGATGTGTACCTCCAAGCGGAGTACCGAAGCAGCAGCCCACCCCGACAGCACAACCGACCGTCAGGATGTCTGTGTAACAGTATGGATTCTACTGATCCAGAGAGGAGGAGGAGTCAGCATTGAAGCAACATATAAATAAGGAATATTCAATCAAAGGGAAATTCGAGTGTTTCCTGACATCAGCTTACCTGATAAACTCCTGAAAAAAAGGACATGAACCTGCTGAGAACTGCTGCACAGATGCTGGCAATGTGAACAAACGGGCCCTGAGTGCAGGAATGGAGCATAAAAAGAAAAAGGTTAATCAAATAAAACAATGCAATGGTTCGATTAAATGAAACAGCCCGCGAGAAGCTTTTTCATTTATCTGGGCTGACCCACCTCTTTGCCTACAGGCATGCCGCTGCCCAGAGCAGCCGTCAGACCAATGACTTTGGCGATGAACGCCTTCAGAGTCAAATACTCCTTTAGTACCACACCTCTCAGGATGGTCTTCAACTCTGGTATACCAGAACCTAGAACAGAAGGGTTATATAACAAAATAATAATAACTGTTCTGAACCTTTTATGACTCGACACACTTTCCTAACCTTACACTTGTCTCAGATGGCTTTGGTGCTGCTGTTTTCCGAATAATTTGTTGCAAATTATCAATTAATTTTCATTCAGGGCATCAAACATTTCTGCAAGTGGCATTTTATGTCAAATGCTGCTTGCAGAAATAATTACAAGTTTTCCTTTGCAGTTAGTTAGTGATGCTTGAGGGAAAAAGTTACAAAATAATTCCACATTTGCAGGTTGGAGAAAGCGTCAAAGGTTTGCCAGCCAGGAGACTGTGGTTCATTTATGTTGTGTGCTTGTTGTGCTTTGTTTCACTTGGTGGATTCGTTCTTTTTCTTCATTGTGCCTGCTGTTTAGGTTTAGATATCAAATCTAATCCACAGTATTAACCATATGAAGCACAATATTGATTGCACACAAATGTAAAAGGTCTTTTACAAACATCCATATGTCCCAAGGCACTAAACCAAAGGAAAACCTTGTGTCTATCTGTGAGACAACAAAACAGCAGTACTGTGTGACACCGTGAGAACGAAAACAGACAGAAAACAATAGCAATGCAAAAACTTTCCTCTGTAAAGCTGCTGTTGGTAAACAAGCATCATAAAGGGCTGAAAGTGTGAAAGATTGCATAGTTTAGATGAATGAAAAACTATTTTGTTGATCGGTTGTTTAATGGCTGCAGAGAAAATGAGTTGGAGATGTTCTCCCTCAGCTTCAGTTCCCTATTTTTTTCTTAATTTCATAACCAATAAGAACCTAAATATCTGATTCTGTCCCAGTATTTAAGAGTGCAGACTAAATTTGAAATGCACTTTTAAATCTATGAATTACACGTTACAGTAGACAAAAACACAGAAGCATGAGAAAGACAGGGGTACAGACCAATAGCTTGAGGGGAAACCAGGTGACAGAAGAGGGAGGAGAAGAGGATAAACATCAGGGGATAGGATACCCAGGCCAGGTACTGCAGGGGGATGTTCCCCCTCAGCTCCCCGTGAATCCACTTATAGGCTGATGCAGGAGGAAATTTAAGGAGGAAAAGAAAACGAGTGTAGAGGCAGAAAAAAGCAAAAACAAAGTAAATTAAAAGAAGAAGTAAAAGAACCAAATTACATGGATAGAAGGAGAGAGAGGAAGGGAAATGGTTAGATTTTAGAAGAGGACAGAAAGAAAAGTGCTTCTTGCACAAACACCTGACTTGTGTTTTTGCTTCACAGTCCTACCTTGTAGACTCTTTGCACTGGCGTAGTCCATTGTCCAGCTGACCAGTGCCATTGTGATGCCCAGGAGAACCAGGAAGATCCAGTCCTCTCCCAACCTGGTCACAAGGAATCGCTGCACTCGTGCTATGCAGTCTGCAGAAACCAACACATCCCAGAAGCTCTAAACATGGCACTCACACAGCATCATTTTCTGTCTTCACTTTTGCCTCATCTCACCTCTACACTTGGAGTAGGAGCGCTTCTTCTTCACAGAGGACGCGAGGTCGGGCTCAGCTGTTTGCTCCTCAGCAGCATCGGTCTCCATATTGGACTGACGCCTGTTCCGTTGCCTGCTGTAGTAGCTGTATTGATGGCGGCTGTGGTATCCGTTTTGGCCACGGCGCCCATGTCCGTGCCGTGTCCTGGCGTGGCTGCGGTGGTGGGTCCCATGTTTCTTGATCTGCCTCTCAGTCAGCAGGCGTGTGGCCTCCCGTCTGCCGGAGCCTCCTTGGTTTTCTTGGTACTCCCCATAGAGCTGCCAAATGATCAGTTAACAATTTTTTGTCTTTTCATGACTCCATCAGACATGAACATGCACAGGTAGTTCCTGAGACAGTGAGAATGAGGAGTGTTTTCCTTTTGGCAGCCTGGCAAAGAAGGGTTCACTTTAAAATTAGACAGGACCACGTGTTGAGCCAAACGGCTCTAATGGAAACGGAAACATGGACTCTGCCTCTAGATTTATCACCGCTGGACAGACTCCATGAAAACTGTCCGGGACATCTGGGGAAGAGATTAATTCTCCTCTGTCGCATTTACAAGTGTCTGGGTTTCACTTCAATAAAGACCCGACGGGACTCAAAGTGGTGGCAAATATAATGTAATGCCTGATCTATGGACACAAACTCAGATTTAATTAATGTCATTAATGCCTAAAAATATTTGTGATCATTTTCTTCATTTCAGGTTATTAAATGTGTACACAGTTCAGCTCCACACAGATTCATTAATGCACGGTGCACTTAAATGCTGGGGAAACTAGGACACCTCTGCTTTTGTGAGATTGATGAGTTAAATCAAAGTGTGAGGAACGTTCTTCTAACTACTCAGTCTGGCTTGTCACTCCTATACCAGCCTATACATTTGGTTCATAAGTCTGGTTAAATATACTGCTTGTGATTGGCCAAGTACATCCTGTGCAGGGTTGTATACAGATACTGACAGAGATTCTGCACCACACACACACACACACACACACACACACACACACACACACACACACACACACA